CTGACACCACACACACGCACACACACACACACACTTGTTGTGATGGGGGGAATTTAATGCTGTTAAAATGGAATTGAAACTTATTTTTACTTGAATGAGGTTCATTAGATCACAATACTTCCTCTTTACCACTTAGTTAATATTTTAGAGTTGTTAATGAAGGAATTGATTGTTGTTAAAATAGAAATGAAACTTTTTTTTGTCCTGAATGAGGATTTGTTCACTAAATCACAATACTTGTTCCTTTCCACCACCAAATTAATTTTCTGAAATTGTTGATGAGAGATTGATTATTGTTAAAATGAAATGAGACTTGTTTTTTCTCAAATAGGGACTTGTTAAAAGAGTATATATATACATGAGGGGTAGTTTTGTCTTTTACACAATAAATTTTAATCACGTTAAGGTTACTTGGTCCTGCAGAGCAACAAATGTTATTCAGTTGTCCTTGATTGTGATTTTCCCAATATCTTATTGAGCTAAGTTCTTGGCAATTTTGTCCTCGTGTACGAAAGTCAAACCATATAAGCCAATGTTCAGTCATGATGAAGCTGACCCATTTTTCCCCTGTTAAATTCATTTGCTGTGAGTCTGCCAGATATTAGTTGAAAATTGAAATACGTGTTTCATGCAGATAGTAAATTGGAAATCTCACTTGAAGTTTCCAGAAGAGGCAAGACTATCCCCAGAGGCTAAAGATCTTATTTGTAAACTTTTGTGTAATGTCAATCACAGGCTGGGGTCAAACGGTGCTGATGAAATAAAGGTGTTGTATGGTTTGCTCTATTAGAACATCCTGGATTTGTTCCATTATATGTTTGGATATAGAGGTTACCTTGCTGTTGTATTCCATTTCAGGATCATCCATTCTTCAAAGGTGTTGAATGGGATAAGCTATATCAAATGGAAGCTGCATTTATTCCTGAGGTCAATGATGAATTAGATACTCAAAATTTTGAGAAGTTTGAAGAGGTATTTGGGCCTTTACGGTTATTGCTAGGCATAAATGCTTATCTAATGCCTTTTACCTTTTCCTATCGCTCCTCATTTTCCCTTTCGCATTTGCAGTCAGACATCCAGAATCACCAAGCATCAAGATCTGGGCCTTGGAGAAAGGTAATCTTGGATGCATACTTCTCTGTTGCTGATATGTCTGCAAGTTATCACCATAGTTAACATTTGCATAATCTTCTGTTGACTGATATGGTGATGAAACAGTGCGGTGTTCTTTTCAGTCAGTATAATATATGAAAAGAAAATAAGCATCATTATTTGAATTACTTCCATATGGAAATTAAATACATCTTGGGTGTTGTGAAAATTAACTTCCCCTTGATTTTACATTGCTGTGAGTTGGCTGTTGAGCTAAGTTGAATAAAATTTAACGTCTGGTAGGCAGGGCCATGGTAGCAGGAACAGGAAGCATGCTGCCGGCTGTTGAACTTGTTTGACATTCCCATATCAGAAGTTCTAATTTATTTTTTCAATTTTAGACAAAGTATGTCTTCTGAAGTCATTTGGCTAATGTCGAGCTAAACAAACTTTTTCAGGACCATGATAAGGATTATGTCTTAATCGATACCCTTGTAATTCCTGAAATTTGGATTTGCCAGTCATGACACCTTTTCCTGAATTCTTAAGTAATTTTAAGTTATGACTCTGCTAGGATTTTGTATTTGTTGGGCCCAGTGAAATGTAGATGATTAAGTATGTCCCTGCTGCTCCAAGGTTGTTTGGAATTACTCGAGATATAGGATATCACTTTCCTCAATGAAAAATTTAATATTGTTTGCCTTGCTATCATTAGCAGTACAAATGGACTTGCCTTTGTCAAGTGCAGTCGTTGGTTATATTCTTCATTAGCCGGTGCCAATGAACGTTTCATTTAGGCAATATATCATGTTATATGGTTGTTGATCTTCTCTTGTTTGATCTTCTAGTTCTTCGTCTGTTGCCGCTGATCAGGGCTACACATTTTTTTCACTTTCATGTTGTCTCTTTTAATGGGTGATTTTACAGATGCTCTCGTCTAAGGACTTAAATTTTGTTGGGTACACATATAAGAATTTCGAAATTGTCAATGACTATCAAGTTCCTGGGATGGGTATGTCACTTTTTCTTAACACCTCTGCATATTAATTTATAATGTTTTATGCAACGCTCTATATTGAAACCTTCAATCATGATCAAGTATATTGTTTTACCAAATACTCGGATCAGGATTAAGGTTCAATAATGGAAATTATAGCCCATGTCATGGATGCCATTTTTTTTTTAGGATACATTATTTTCCTTTAATGCAATAATGGATATTGAATATCATTAAACACATGCATGCACAAATAGTTCTCGATATAATTTTTTTTCCTCTTACCTTGCAGCCGAATTGAAGAAGAAATCCTCCAAATCAAAGAGGCCGACTATCAAGTCACTTTTTTTATGCTTTCAAAACTTTCTGACCTTTCTTTTTTATTTAAAAAGATCGATATATTTGGTTGCTCGCTCCTGTATACTTTTCTGTTTCTCATCTGATCAAAATGGGGTTGAGACAGTTGGTGAATCAGAAACATCAGAGGTGTCTGCTTCTTCAGATGCACCTGCAGGCAATCAATCTGCTCAAGGGAGCTTTCTAAACCCTCTGCCACCGCCACCCCGTTTAGAGGTAACTAATAAAGACAGAGAAACCTCCTGACAGGCAAACTTGTGACATATCCAGTCTGACAGCATAGGAGCCATAACTCATGCCAACAGCGTTAACTTTTTCAATGTTCAATATTTATTATTCTTAACGTTATTCGATGCTTGGATACGTTCTTGGCTACAATAATGGTTACTTGGTACTTGATTGCTTGCTTGAGCAAAGGCATGAAGAAAGTTATGTGCCCTAACTATGGAGGTGTAAACCTCTTACTGCATTATGTCGGTACGAGAAACACTGTAAACGGATATACTCTGTAAATTTGTACGTTAGTGATAGCCAATTATTTGTATCACTTTCTATCTTGCAACGTGTAATATATCCTAGGGTTTTGTTACGATGTGACTTATCAATCGTAATTAAACTTGTTATGTTAAATTACATAAAATGTAAATATCGCACCATCTAAGAGTACTATAAAATATAGTATAACTGAACCGAACAGTTTTTAAAATTTTGCATTGCACATCATTCTTGAACGTTGATTCTGAGAGGTTGGTCAAGTAAACCTAATCCAAACTGGAAGCATTCTTTTAATATCGAGTCCCTTTGTCGTTTTGGTTGGTCGTTCATCTCGCTTACCTTGATCTTTGATTGTGACTCAATCTAAAAAACTTTGGTGCTACTTCAAAACCTTGCCGCTGTTAGACGAATTCGAGATCCGCAACGAGGAGAATATGATCTTATTAGCTGATTGACGACAAAGTCGTAACTTTTAAAAAGACAATGTTGTGAGATTTTCAATGTCTTAGGTCATCATAATCCTATGGCATTAGCATCTATCTATTGAACAGTATGATTGCCGAGACTTTTGATCGCTTCACCCGGGCACCTTTAGAAATTTTGTCAAAAGCTCCTGAATTTTGTTCACAATATGAGCTCTTTAGGTGTTCCATTTTTTTTGAGATTAAACTTTTTGTATGTATGAATTAATTACGTGTAATATACTACAAGTATTCTGTTATATTATCGATCATCTTGATATATGACTAGATAATTACAACTGCATCTTGTAATGCTGTAATGACAAGTAGTGCACTTTTTTTTTTCTGGGCTTGCGAAAAGAATATATGAAAGGAAAAATTAATTGATTCATCCTTATAGTATTACTGATCAGTCTTTATACTTTGAAATCACACAAACTATAATGATGAATAAATAAAAAAGATGACATTGGAGATTCCTAAAATTTAGGTCCAATTTTATTTGATTAGTTCAAATATTAGGGTCTATTTTCATCATATCCTTCATTATTATGTTCTCCTCATAACTTGAGGTGCGCTAGTAATGAATGATTTGTGGGGACATATTTGAGTGAATTCAATATTTATAATTATATTTAATTGATTGCGTGTTCTACTCTGCTACCCCCTCCCACTATTTTTTTTTGTCTGGGTCTCTCGCATTTCACTTTTTCATAATAGTTATGATTATGATTGTAATTATATAACTTGATCGACTATTAAGATAATCACCTCTTTCAGTCATTCCTACTAAATATAAAAGAAGACGCTTCAAATTACATATTAGAATATATTATCACGTGAGGTTCATATTAGAATATCATTGTGTTAAGCAGCTCACGGGACCATTTTGTTTATGAATGTATTTGATTGATACCAGTAAACATAACGAATGTACGGGTATCAAATTTCATGGAGAGAAAATCATGTTGAATGTTATGGCCACATATGGGTGTGAAGAGTGAGATGTACAGTGAATGGAATCAACTCAAGTTCACATGAGTAACAGTGGTTGGGATTCAAATTTTTTCTATGGAAGAACAAATTTGATTGCCTTAAAATAATTTAACCCTTATATATATATATATATATATATAACAATTTAAATGGGAGGGATCTATCATCTACCTTAAAAAAATTCAAATCTACTTCTTGTACTAAAACAGTGAATGGTTTAAATTTGACTGTTTTTTTTTTTTTAACATTCTAAGAGTATTTTCATAGACATCAAATCTGGACTTTCACCACAAAGGCGATGGTACATACATCTGCAGTGAAGATGAAGGGATGAAGAATGTAGTGGGGAAAAAAAGCCAGTGGATGGAACAAGATTGATAATATTTAACTCTAATATCGGTCAGCAATATCATACAGTAGATTTTTTTTTCCCCAAAAAAATAATTGTGTCAAATCCTCATATGTTAAACAATACATAAATCCGAGATCGCATCGATAAGACGACCAGGTATCGAAAGAGACAGAAGCATGAATCGAGCACTTCTTGATCACGTATAAAATACAAAGAAGCAGATGACAAGAATGGAAAACAAAATACCAGAACAAACAGATTGACTTGAACAAAGTAAGGAAAAAGCAAGAGAGGGGAGGGGAGGGGGAAAAAGAAAAAGAAGAAGAAAGAAAAGCAAAAGAGAATAAAAAGGTAAAGAGATAAAGATTAAAGAGAGTCCCTTCGCAGCACATCGCATCGTGGGCAGCACCCAAGGAGGCTCAAGTGCTAAATGCTAACTAACTCATCGCCAGTCTTCAGTTTAAGGGAAAACAAAAATCTGTAAGTTTTTTTTATTTAAGGGTAATTTAAAGCTGTTAATTAATATCGGCGCAGAGAACGGAGCTAAAAAAAAAAAAAGAATTTTGTTATGTTTACGAAAGAACGGGAATTTTATTATTTTTTCGGGCAAGGAAAGAATGAAATAGCGATTACTATATAGATTTCACGTCGTACAGTTTTTCCATTGTCATCTTTCTCTCTCATTTACATCAGTTTCCGCCGTCCATCATCCAGCTTTTGTTTTGCGGAACTACTCTTGTTTCTTCATGCCTCGTCCCATCCAGCGCATGCTCCTGGATCTCCTCCGTTGTTACTATTTTATTTTATGTTGTAAAAGTTTCTTTCAATTGTTCCTGGTAATGTTCGCGTCATATTTTATCTGGTCAACTCGTTCCTGTTTTCTGGAAATTAGGGCTTCTATCGGCAATTGATTCGGTTTAGTTGTGGTAAATGGATGTCACTGGAGAATTTGGTTTGGCCTTCTGAATAAAGACTTCGTCTTCATTCCTGGGGATGCTATAAATTGTTTCGCATTGGTTTTCTCCTATCTGGATTTACGTCATACGCAATTTTACGATCAATTGGATCACCGTATTGGGAAGTTTTATTAGAATCGGGTTGATTATTGAAGAAAGCGAATCATTTGATTTGTCGGGCCCTTTTAACTGGTGAGTCGGCGGAGGAACACGGTGTATTTTTGGTCTTTATGCCATTTTGAACATCTAGATAAAAACCTGGGCGAACATCTGAGTAGAACAACTTATTACAGTTGGTGCTTGGCGGCGTACTGAAGGTCTTGTTCATAATGGATCATGTGATTGCTGGCAAGTTCAAACTGGGAAGGAAAATTGGGAGTGGGTCTTTTGGAGAGCTTTATTTAGGTAAATGCGAGTACTTTTTCACTGACAGCATCTCTTGCGATGTTATGTTTCTATAAACACGCTAATCCTTCTCTTATTTCTCATGTTAGGTGTTAACGTTCAAACTGGAGAGGAGGTGGCTGTTAAGCTGGTATGTTATCTTTTCTTGATAACCCCCATTCTGTGTTCGGTAGGGTTAAAACGGTTTAAAAATTGAATCTATTGTGACGTTTTGCTATGTCAAATGATTGCTTAGAGTTTAGCATGAACAAATCACTTCTTTTTACTTCATCTACAATCTCAATATTAAATGTCGTTACTTAATAATGCCTGCTTTGGATAATTGATGCTCTATCTTTCTATGCAACAGACATTGGCACTTTGGATGGTGACATGCATTGAATTTTTTTTTTTTTTTATATAGTTGCTATGGGAGTTCCAATAATCATAAGCAAAACCTGATGTGAGGAATAATTTGTTGACTAAGCAAACAACAAAAGGAACAACATCCATCCTCCTCTCAATGTCAACTTTGTAACAGTAGCTAAAGTTTAGAAGAAATGAATGCTCTCTTTAAGGATTCGAGAATTGTGTGAAATGCTGCCTTTTCTTTTTAGTTCTTTTTGTTTCAATGTGGTTTAGCTTGTTATATCCTTTTTTTTTTTGGGGCCGGGGGGGGGTTTATAATATCCTTGCCTTTGTTTATTTCTAGAGACATTTGTATACCAGTTAGTGATTAGTGATTCCAATATGCGCATGACATTCTGTGCTAATTTTTAACCAATTTCTTTTGCTCCCTCCCCCTTCTCCAAAAAAAAAAAAAAATTCAGGAACCTGTGAAGAGCAGGCATCCACAGCTGCAATATGAATCAAAATTATATATGCTTCTTCAAGGAGGAAGTAAGTCTGTGGTGACTTTACCTTTTTAGCTTTTTTGTGTCCAGAGATTCTTTAAGTGTTTACTAATATGAAAGTCTCTTTTGACAATTTTGAATATACAAATGAAATATATAATTCGTTCCTTTGTATTTGGATTCAGGAGTATAGTTATACATATGCCCATTGGTCTAGAATTATACTTCATTATGAACAGAACCATTATTCTTCTCTAAGTCATGCCTACAAAACAAAAACAAAAAAAAGTTGCAAAAAATAATAAGAAAAGAAACAATATTGCTCTTAAGTAATTGGATCTGGCTTTTCTTCAATAAAGCGGGGATTCCTCACCTCAAGTGGTTTGGAGTTGAGGGAGACTACAATGTTATGGTTATTGACCTTCTTGGGCCAAGCTTAGAAGATCTGTTCAACTATTGCAACCGGAAGTTCAGCTTAAAGACAGTGTTGATGCTTGCTGATCAATTAGTAAGTCTACTTGGAAACCATTTTAAGTAAAGTGTCATAGACAGATTTACTAAGTATTCATATTGTTATTATTATTTTCAGATTAACAGGGTTGAATATATGCATTCAAGAGGATTTCTTCATCGTGACATAAAGCCTGACAATTTTTTAATGGGTCTAGGGCGCAAAGCTAACCAGGTAAAGGAGTTATCAACATCAGTAACCCATGCTGAGAGTTGCTTTTCAGCCTCAATGTGGATTTAAAAAAAAAAAAAATTCGACAGGGGAATTACTCTATCAGATATGTATGCTGATCGGGATAACATTAACTTTTGTGTTTGCTTCTGCTAGATTTAATTGTTTTGTTGTGGATAATTTAACTAAAGGATTTCTTGCTCTCCACTGCCTTGCTTTCTTCTCCTCAATCTTAGAAAGAAAAAGAATTCCATTCTTTTGTCAATTAAAGGAGTCAAAACATGATCAGGAGATTCTGATAAGAAAATATTGGGTGAATGCAGGAAATTTAGTTCTTTGTAATTATTTTGATAATATGTTTATCATGGCAGGTTTACATCATTGATTATGGACTTGGAAAGAAGTATAAGGATCTCCAGACTCATAAGCACATACCATACAGGTAAATTTTGTCATGCTCTTTTCTGGACATGCAGATGCCCAGTTTTGGAAGTGCTCAAGTGCAACATATTTAGTCATGCGCATTTGTGTGTGCGTGTGTGTGTATTGAATTGGAATTAACTATGCAGGAATGCAGTTTTCCTCCAGGAAGCAACAATAAATTAGCACACCTATCCTTGTGTTGCCAATTTATTGGTTAAAATTTAAAAAAAAAAAATCTCGGATTTAGGCAGTTACATCATTACTTTAGTAAGATCATTTTGGATTGCTGCAGTTTTATTTGAAATTCATTCTTTTGTGTGACATATCTCCAATCCGGTATTGTAAATACTGTCATGAACACCTTAATCAATAAAAAGTAATTTCTAAAATTTGAACTGAGACCAATATTTGGCTCTGCGTGCTCTGGTTGAATCCTCTTCTATGTAGACCAATATTTGGCTCTGCGTGCTCTGGTTGGATCCTCTTCTATGTTTTATCTCAGTTCCCAACCCAGGCTCATCTCTGTTTGCCATCTTGTGATCAAATGCTTAATAAACATGGATCTTTTACTTCAGTGTTTTTTTTTTCTGGGATTCATTTTACTTAGTTTTGTGTTCTATAATTCTGTGTGCATTTTGCTATTTTCCTTTTCTTTCTATGATTTCCCTTCAAAATTGTTATGTAAATTTATGTGTCTTCTATTTGTAGAGAAAACAAGAACCTGACTGGCACAGCTCGCTATGCAAGTGTCAACACTCATCTTGGAATTGGTGGGCAAATATCTTATGCTAGATTTATTCTTTTTCATACTGACACCCTAATTAATAAAAGTAAATCATTACAAAATTAGACTCACCTGCTTTCAACTGCCTGATTTTATTTTATTTTTCTGGCAGAACAAAGCAGAAGAGATGATCTGGAATCTCTTGGTTATGTGCTCATGTACTTCTTAAGAGGAAGGTTGGATACTTATCAGACCCGTCTTTTTTACCCCATAGTTGCTACATATTATTTTGATGGCATTCTTACTGTCGGTTTTCTATGTTATTTTAGTCTTCCCTGGCAAGGTCTGAAGGCCGGCAATAAAAAACAGAAGTATGATAAGATTAGTGAGAAGAAATCATCAACTCCAATAGAGGTATTATGACTAGTTGGATTAGTATGCTTACCAATTTACTCGTTGAGATGCTTTGGAGAAATTAATATTCCTTCTCGATCTAGTCAGTGATATCTGAAATGAGGTTTTGGCTGCTTTGATCTTTAGTGGGATATTATGCATGACACCCGAAGCTGAGAAGTCAGGCCAGGCCTGAGAATCAGCTCTATAATAGTTTGTGCTTGTGAATGTGAATGTTCATACAATCACAAATACATGGATTTTATGTGTCAGGACTAATTTTTTTTTAGACTACTTCTATTGAATATTCCTTGTATCAAAAAGTTGGCATAACTAGAAATTGGATGTTTCTCGTTCATTCTATCTCAATTTTATATGGCCATGTTACTTTATTGTTATTATATCTGCTTGTGTGGATAGGTTCTCTGCAAATCATACCCATCTGAGTTTGTATCCTACTTCCACTATTGCCGATCATTACGGTTCGAGGACAAGCCAGATTATTCATATCTAAAGAGGCTTTTCCGAGACTTGTTTATTCGAGAAGGTCCTGTGTGCTCATATCTGATTTGAGTATTAGCAGGGATTTTTTGTAGAAAACTTTTAGTAGGCTTGATGTTAAATTGGCCTTGACTTTGATATTGCAGGCTCTCAGTTTGACTATGTTTTTGACTGGACTATACTGAAATATCCTCAGATTGGTGGCAGTTCTAAAGGGCGGGTTAGTGCTGTTTTACCTTGCATTTGTGGATTTTTGCTTTCTATTGAGCTCTACTTACTGAAGTCTTTCCAATATATCAGCTTGGCAATGGCAAGGCACTTATGAATGCAGGACCATCTGTGCAAAAACCAGAGAAGATCCCAGGTCAACTCCCTTTCAGTCATATAATTTAATGAACTTGGTATACCGCTAAATCTTAACAAGTCTGACAAGTGTTCAGGATCTTCAAACTAACTTCTTTCAGTGTCTTTCCTTCTAGTTTCAGAGAAAATGGAGGTTTTAATTATTCAACTGTAGCTATTAGTAAAAGTACCTTGCTTCTTCCGAATTCCTTAAATGATAGTGGCTTTTCAATTGCTTCTTTCAGCTGGGAAGGATATTCGAGAGAAATTTTCTGGTGGTGTTGAAGCATTTTCCCGAAGGAATCCCACAAGTTCTAGTCCTCATGGTGATCACACCAGAAATAGGATTTTCGAGGAGGTGCCATCTCGCAGGGATGTGGTAAATATTATTTCTCTAAAACATAATTTCAAATATTTCTCCCAGAAGAGTTTTCTCCATATAAATTATCTGGTCAGTGTCCATGATTCGGGAATTCAAATCTGTGATTAAGTCACTTGAGTGTAAAAAATTTGCACTTTAGTTGTTGACATCTGTTCTCAATCAAATCCATGCTTGCCTGTTTGAATTCTCACTTCTCCTATGAATTGATCGTTAATAAAGCCTTAACATCTCTCTTTTAATTAGGGGTTTTGCTGAAACTATATATTTTGTCAAATTATCAATGTTTGTACAAGGGGTTACTTGTGATTTTAGCTTACATTTACGAGTCAAACATTCTTATTGAGCAGTATGATCAAGAAAAGGGACGCAGTTCCTCTCGATATGGAAGCAGTTCAAGAAAAGCCATAATCTCATTGAACCGGCAGAGTTCCTCCGGTGACCATACTGACAGCCGTGCCAGCTGGCTGACATCGGGTGGCAACCGCCCATCTAGTGCATATAGAACTCAAGCTGTGCATGAGGCCAAACAACCAAGTTTGACACGCAATGCATCTTCAAGAGCCAATCGTGATGATGCTCTCAGGAGCTTTGAGCTCCTCTCTATTAGAAAGTAAATGGGGGTATCATCTTGCAAGGGTCTCACGTGGCATTTTTAAAATTCTTGAGCAGCGAAATGCTTGATCATGTTTTTATCCGATGACGATTTCACATTCTGGAGTTTATATGGTGCATGGGGTTAGTACTAAATCGCCATGCAATGATAGTTATACCATTTTCTAATATTATTTATGGACCAAATTGGTCTTGTCGCCTTCCTGGACTTCTTCCACGGAAGGTGTTTATTTTCGTTGGTACTACGAAATTCGTGAATGTATTCAATCCAGTTCGATTAAATTCGAACAAGTACGTGCGTGATGTTCAGTTCCTTTGCTCACTGTATTCTCTGTTGGTTTGGCAATTAATTGTACTGATACATCTTAAAACAGTGGCTGAGTTGTAACCTATGAGCGATACCGCTATATTCTGTCTCCTATGAATTAGACAAGATGAGAAGAGAAGATAGAAATGTAGAATATCGTGGGTGGGGGGGGGGGGAAGAAAAAATGGCAATAAAATATTTTAAAATTTTTAAATGATATTTTAATTTTTTAAAATGTCATAAATCTCCAAAAGCTTTTAGGGTTTTATTGTCATTAAGAAATTAATATAAAGATCATTTATCTTTAATTTAAATATTAATTATTATTTATAAATTTTATTTTAAGATTCACAATTTTTTTATAAACTCATAAAAATTTAACAACAATTTACAAATTTACATTTAAAATTTTAATATTTCTTAAGTGTTATAAATCTCAATTGTTATTTATAAATTTTATTTTAAGATTTATAATTTTTTTTCTTAAACTGTAAGGATTCAACAATAATTTGTAAGTTTAAATTGAAAATAATTTGATCATTTATATTAAGTTTTTAATGATAGAAATATCTTAAGGATTTAAGAAAAATTATGGTATTTTGGGGATAAAAAAATATTATTTATATAATTTTAAAAAAATTATTATATTTTTTTTAAAAAAATAAAGAGACAAGCTTTTGTCAGTGCAGCACTCTACTTTCTCAGTCTAACGAGCTCGCGCCTGATAATTCCACCCGTCTCTGCCAAGTGAAGGAAGGAAAGGAAAGAGGAAGAAGCTGCCCCCTTTTTTTTGGCCGAGAAGAGAAAACCACTTCAAAAAGCTTAACCATTAATTAATCTGTTTCAATGTTTGTTATTTTTTTATGGTAAAGGGAAATGTTTCTTATTTTTGCTTCCAATCACAGTAACATCATTTTTTTATCATTTGCCACATATTATATTATAATTACATACATCATAGTTTCATTACTTAAATTTGCATCTTTTGAATCGATGCATAGAATTATGGCTAATTATTGAAAATTTATGATGCATGGATACTGATGCTTATCTAATACTTTGATACTTTCTTTTTTAAAAATATAGGATATAATTAGCTTTTTATGTGTGCATATATATTTAGAAAAACTATTTAAAAAAATAAAAAATATAATTTTAATTTAAAAAATATCCAAAATAACATGCCTATATAGCCCTGTAAAAAATATCAAGCAAAATATAATCATTAGTTGTACTTTTATTTTATCTATACTTATTTACCTATTGCCTAGTTTTTACTAATAGTTTCCCACGTAGGATTTAAATACCAAAAGATTATAGGGACATTTGCACTTATAATCCATTTAATAGGACAAAATAAAGATAACAGCCTAACATTTTAAATATTTTGCAATGTAGTGGATTAATATTTAAGTTAAATTGAAATGATAAAAACATCTCTTCTCCTCAAATATAAAATCTCATTTTTGTTCTCAAATGTAAAATGCATTATGCCTAATAAATTGACAGTGAAGTATTCAAAAATGTTCAAATATTAAAACAACATATAATTGTAAATTGGTCACAATTATATTCATTCAGTTATAAGAATTTTGCTACTCTGCTACACAAGTTTTTTTAATTTATTTTGGGAATAAAAAGAAAAATCGCACCCAACTTGATTGTAAATAGGCTACGTTTCAAAATCTTAAAAACTTCATCCATAATTTTTAGTTAACATATTTTTCAAGGTCAATGAGCCAATTTACTCAATATTATATTTTTATAATTTAAAAAATTATAATTTTTATCTTTTTATTATATCTAAATATTTTTAAGGAAATTTAATTTTTTATTTTAAAAGAAAATCACAAAAATATATTGGGAATAAAAAATATTAATATTACACTATTTAAAAAAATTTAATTTCTTAAAAATAATTTTGAAATATCAATTTTAAAGTATTAACTCACAATCTAAAAATATCATATATGTAATGAAAATAAAAAAAATTAAAACTAAAAAGTAATATTTTGATATTCTATCAATATGTATCAAAGAAGTATAAGTGAATATTGATATCTAACATAATACTAAAAATATTATGTGATTATTGAAAATTTTAAAATAAAATAACACTTATTTAAATAATATAAAACTAGTAAATGTGAATTCATATTTATTTAAATTTATAAAATCTTATATTACAATATGAAACAATTATTTTATAATTTTTATAATTATAATTATATAGTTTATTCTACATACAAAATGCAAACAGTTTTTTAAATGAACATACACTCACATTTCACGTTTCAATCGTGCAGACAACTCAAGGAAGGAAGGTGGAAGGAGAGGAGATGGGAAAAGATAGGGGAAATGGGTGGCAGGCCTTCCCATTATGCCTATCACATTGTGTGTCTTTCTTTTTTTTTCAATTTAAGTGGAACTTGGTCTCACAGAAGCCGAGTTATGCAGTGGCAGGTTTGAAAAAAAAAATTTAGATATTGATCTAACCGAATTTTATATTTGCAGCATTTGGAGAAATATTTTTGAATGTATAGTATTTGGATAAATAAAAAAAAATTTATATAGTATTGGGGTCAAATTGCCGATTTAAACGTTTTCTATCCCATTCGACCAGAGTGCGAAGCCGATGTTCCAACCACTCGTTTTAATTGTGTCATAACCTGTCCTATGAATTTTAACAGGAGTGGGTGGCTTGCCACGTTTCATGTAATAGGACTCATGGACCCAAAGCTTAGCTCGTGTTTCAAATTTGCCAGGATTAAATTCCTAAGTAATTTTTTTTTAATTTACTGTTTTTTAATCTTTTAAAATCCATAATTCAGGCAGTAATATAATGTGTGAAAATTTAAATGCCAAACGATGGTTCTAGTTATTGGGACTGGAAAATTTCTTACATCGCCTCTCATTGACGATTATGACCTGCCAATAGATTAATCTCTGATTGGCGTCTCAATTTCAGATAAGAAAACTCTGCGGTGGATGCAGACTTTACATCAGATTGGTATGTACATATGCAATTTGCTTGTTTTAATATTTTCTTTCTGTTATTCTTTTTTTGTTCTACAACTTTTACTACTGGGCTTTGTCAAAGAAAACAGCTAGTGCTATAATTTTGTGACTTCAAAAGACACAACCCTTGTTATGTGTCAGATGTTTGCCAAATTTTCTTACAGATCGATGGCAGAGAAGCTGAGATGTATTTGCACACTACTTTTCTGCATTTTTATGCAATACCATGGAGGCATAATGGTTTTGTGCTTGAGTGCTCAAGAAACAAACATCCCAAAAAATGCAGTAATTTTTCCACAACAAAACATTTGCTCATGGCTCCATTAACAACAATTTCTTTTGACAAGCAACCTTGGTGGTAATTCATTATTTGGGGTCATAGGTCTGGATGTTGTTCGAACAGATCAAGCACTAGTCTTTTATGAGAATGAATCTAATCAGGCAAAGCTTTGGGATGTTCTAGCAGTTTATGCCAGGATAGACAACGGTATTGGTTATGTGCAAGGTAAATTACCATGGCTATCATCGTTTCAAACTTAAATTGGAGTGTCAAGGCCGGTCATTAAATTGGAGGTTATTTTTTCTGCTGGAATGAACGATATTTGCTCGCCTATGGTGATTCTTCTTGATAATGAAGCAGACTCTTTTTGGTGCTTTGAGCAAGCAATGCGAAGGATGGTAAATTCTTTCTGTTCTCTTCTTGTTTTCATATGGAGTCATCTGGCTAAACGTTGTTCTTTATAATTAATTTTTGTGGTCTGTTGGCACACCTACCTTCGTTCACATTACACGGAGAGAACTTCAGGACCAGTGCTACTTCAATGGGAGTGCAATCTCAGTGGAGCACACTCTCACAGATAATGAGGACTGTTGATCCCAAGCTTCATCAACACCTTGGTGCGTCAACATTTCATGGTAGTCAATATTTTTGTGTAATTCAGATGTCTCAATCTTTTCAATTTATTGATGAACATGGGGAATATTCCTCTGCTATAGAAAAATTTTGCACCACTCTGCAAATAAATTTCATCTCCTTTTTGTTTTGCAGAGGATTTAGATGCTGGGGAGTATCTATTTGCATTTCGCATGCTAATGGCTCTTTTCCGCGGAGAATTTTGTTTTGTAGATGCTTTGTACCTTTGGCAGGTAATGATGAGCTTCCTACATTCAATATAACCAGAATCAATTTTGTCTTTGGGTCACTAAGGTCTTTTAAAGACATTATAGCTTGTTTTCAGCTGATGTGGGCCATGGAATATGATCCCAACATCTTCTCATCGTACGATGAGTCTGAGGTTGCTAGAACAGATGATACTACCCCTGCAATAAATGACAAACTGTGGAGGAAATATGGCAAGTTTCAGAGAAAAAATCTGCAGACTGGCAATACAGAACAGCAGCTTAGTGCACTACCTGTTTCCCTTGTTGCAAGTGTCCTTGAGATCAAGAATGGGCGGATTTTAAAGGAGGCTAAGGGGGTGGATGATGTAGTGAAGGTTTATCTCTTTTCATTCTCCTTATTAGATTCATAAGTTGTCATTTTACTCATCTGAGACTCTATTCTCGGATCTTGGATTATATAACTTCACATCTGGATGCCAAAAAAGCATGTGATGAGGCACTGAAAATTCAGAAGAAGTATCTGAGCAAGGTGAATTTCATTGTCTATCTTCTACTATGTTAGATGCATTTTCTCTAGCGTGCTAAGAAAAAGCAGGGGCGGTTTATGTGGGAAATAATTAGGATCTTCATTGAACTGTTTATTTACTTTCCGTCTTTGGTGGCTCTTGGGAAATTTTTGAAACTGTGTTAGATAGAATTGAATAAAAACAGGAGATAACAAATCTCTTCAAGGACCTTAATCATGATTTTTATGTAATCATCTACTCTCCAACTACAAACTCTTGTCTCTATTTACAACTCCCTTTAAAACTAGCTTTATTATGTTTGAACTTTTTGCCATGGCTGTTTGTTCATTTGCAGGCCAGAAAACTATGACAATGGTAAATTTTTCGGACCTATCTGTTAGCAGATGTAGTGGTTCTGAATGTTCTGTGAGGTTCAATATATGCTTCATTTGTGTTGATAACTAGCAGGCCCCTTCTCTTTTATCGCTTTCTGTTATTAGACTCTTGATTTATTTGTATCATCAGAGAATATGTTTTTCCCTTGAATACTGCAATTTCAACTTCTTTTTTGTCCTGTCTTAGAATATACTATGAAATGGCTCAGTACTTTTGATCCTCTTCCCTAAACCGTTTCCATGTTTTTGACAACATTATCATGTTTGCCTAAGATATCATTGTTAGCTTCAAGTACACACATAAGATGAGTCTTGTGATTAAAAACATCTATATATCATACCATCTTTAAGGTGGTATTTGCCTCTTTATTGTTAGATATTATATGGCATGCTAGAGATGTCCCATGAGCAACCTATTGAGAGTTGTATTAGTTTAATCAAATCTCGAATTTGAGATCTAAGAATGCAACAACATTAGTAATAAAGCTTACACTCGAAAGGGTTCCAACACAGCTCAATCCAGATTAATTTAGGCCCTATCAAAGTCCCCTCAACTTAATGTGGGACAAGCCTAAGATATTGAGTGCTAACAAAAAATAATAATATGATTTCAAAAAGTTGTGTGTGATTGTATTATATATTTTCCACCTTTATCATGTCTTCATTCTTACATACAATATCACATGTTAGCCTCTTGTTTAATACTCTGTTTGATCCAAAATATAAGCAATGCAAATTTTAACAATAATCCGAGTATCAATAAAATCTATATTCTTATAAAATATATATATATATATATATATATCCCTTTTTACCCTTAATTACAATCTATGACAAGTAAAAGGTCTCAAATTTATAGATACAGCAATCCAGATTAATAAATATAAAAGATAAATGCAAATTATTCATACAAATATTAAGTTATTTATATTCTGAACTAAAATTAGATGAGAGAAAATGTTTATATATATTTTGGACCAGAGAGAGTAATGGTTAATGAAAATTAAACATCCAACTTCAATTTTAAACAAATTATTACAGCCATCTAATGTTTTGTGAAATTTCAAAGCACGCTTATGTTTTAAATCACAATTGAATTCACATTTAAATAATCTAGATCAAAATAAAATCATTGGGCCTTGTTTTAATCCATCTCTATTGTTGCGCCATATGTTAAGAATTTACTTGTCCAAACCAGTTATTTCCAAGAACGTTAATACCAATGTGGTTGTTTTTTTCTCAATTACTACTGGGATAAATGTAAGGTGCAGGTTTAATTACTGCCCTTTCTTTCGCCAACGCAAGTTTAATTACTGTCAACAGACATAACCCAAGGGAAAAAAAAAAAAAAATCAGATGATCCGCTCTACAAGAGCATTGATCGCCTTACGCCAGTCGTTCACTTTACCAGTTGGGGCCAAACATTTCTTAAATTGAATACTGGTACTGGAGTTGCACATGAAGTAGGGTGATGCCCAACCTGGGGAATGGAAGGATTGTATTTTGCATGCAATTCCCTGCTCGTGAGATGCTCAAGCATTTCAAGCTGGGCAGCATCAGGCTTTCTTGCCCAGTTGATGGTTAAAAAGAAAAAGAAAAAGAAAAGAAAGAAATATATTGATAAAATCATTTTTAAATTAATTAATATAAAAAGAGGAGCATCTAAAAAAAATACATAATGAGGATTTAAATGTAACAAAAAGATGAGCATCCAGGAAAAAAAAAATACTTAATCTCCTCAAAATACACAAAAAGAGGAGCATTTGGAAAAAATACAAAAAATATAAATTATTCAATGCACCAGAAATTTAAAAAAGAAATCTACTTGTATAAAATGAAAGAAAGAAAGAAAGAAACATAAACATAATAAAAATATCAATATGAACTCTAATGAGAGTGATTTATATATGTTATTCTTTAATAACATTACAATTTCAACGAGACGAATCAAGGACTATTTGAATTTTTTTAGATGTCCTCCCTCATCTCATCGACTAAATGCACATTTTAACATAAACTTTTCCTTTGACATATAAAAAATAAGAATATTACAAAAACATAAGCATATTACAAAAAACACACACACACTTATTGTTCGAGCAGAGCCAAATGGGTAGAACAACATACCTTGCCCATTGTTAGACCCTGCCAAAACACCAGTCCGACCGAACATGCTTAAATTCTTTTAGGTTGGGCTAGGCAAAATTTTCCTAAGCATTTGGACTACATGAACAACCAAGCTAGTACCTGTCAATGAAAAATAAATTTGCATAACACATGCCCAAGATAAAAACATCATACTACTATTTTTTAATTAAGAAAATGTTATTTTAATTTTTTTAATATAAGGCCATGATAAAAAAAAAGTGCAGAAAGACAGCTTAGGTCATGTTAGCATGCAAAAGCTCATTAGAATCAATTTGTGGGATATAAAAAATTTGAACTTCCATATTATTATTATAGGCTTAGTGAGCCAACCAATCAGCACAATGCTTGCCTTTCTAAAGACATGTTTAAAAGTGATCATTCAATTTCTCATAACAAGTTCTTTAATTTTGTTGATAATTTCTATAAGATGATGATTAACAAAGAACTTGTTACAGGTGAACGCGAGCACTTCAATTATGGAGTCAAAGTAAATGTTGACTTTGTTAAACTTTCTATTTCAACAGGTGATAAGACCTTTAAGAATATCCATGAGCTCAACAATTGTGCTAGAATTATATCCAAAGTATTTTTAGAAACCTGTAATCCAATTCTCTCTATCATCTTAGATGAGTCCACCATAGTTATTTATTGATTCATCAATGTTATGTCCAAACCCATCCTGCTTCAAGGGAGTATCATTTTGCTTTTGACCTATCACTTGGAGGAGACAAGCAACTGAGTCTTGGTTGAAGGTTGAGATCACTAAGAAAATCTTGGGTGCTTGTAAAGCTTTATTTAAAATAGATGTTTTTACATCTTTCCTTCCAAGTGTTTCAACATACATGGGTAAAGAGTCTTTGCTAATGAATTTTTCTTATGCTTGAACTTCCCACATTATTCTTTACATTCCAAAGTATCCATTCTTGCAATGTGAGAAGAGAAAATATTAAGTTTAGTTTGTTTCACAAATTTCATCCAAGCCTCTCTAGCTTTCTCGCTATCTCTCAAAATATGGATAGATGAGTCCAAAGTGTTACTATCAAAAGGACATGTCCTAAGACAAGGGTTGGCATCATTTGAGTACTAAACTTATATTGTAGGTAGTCCTAAGCTACTTTACAAATGAAAGATTTAATTTTCTCATGTAGTAGGTCTCTTAAGGTGAAATTAAAGTTGAGGTTTTATCATGAGAAAAATTCACTACAGACCTTTTGAGGAAAGATAATAAAAAAAAACAAAAACCATTAAATTCATGAAATTTATTACAAGTCTTGGGTATTAAATTGAAATTAAAATTATCTAAAAAATGATAAGATTGTCCCTGTTAAAATTCTTTAGCATGACTTATTTGTGTCATTCATTATCCTTCAAACTATTATTTATTATCCTACTTCACTTGTTTATTACAACAATTTTACTTGAATTAATTCTAAGTATTGTTTTTATGTTAGTACGATTTGTTTGTATCCTCACTATAACTGGTTCATGACCCTTCTAATTGTTATTTATTATCCTACTTTACTTGTTCTTTACAAAACTTTCACTTAAATTTATTCCAAGAGTTACTTTCATGTTAACACAACTTATTTATATTCATACTGTGTGCGGTTCATTATCTTTTAGATTATTATTTATTGTCTTACTTTATTTATTTATTATAATATTTTTATTTGAATTAATTTCAAATGTTCCTTTCATGTTAGTACAACTTATTATATCTTATTATATGTTATTCATTAGTTTTTATATTATTATTCATTGCTTTACTTTACTTGTTTACAACTCTACATATTTATTGTTCATTTCTTCTTGTTAAATTTTTATCTTTTAATAAAAATAATTTTATCATTTTTTAAAAATTATAAATTTAATTCAATACTCTAAGCTCGGAGTTTTAAAAATTTAGGGATTGTCTTCTATTATTTTTGATCCACGACTCTTCTGTGAAACTTTTCCTTTCGTTCTGTCATCATCATATTGGTGCACTGATAAGTGAGAGAGAGGTGCATGGGATTGAAATGATTGTTTTGTTCAGGATCAGCGGTACATGGGATACAGTACTGAGGTTCATAAATGTCGAGAATTAGTACATAACACGTGTCGCCAAATGATGGGTTAGGATAATAAAGGGTCGACCAGCACAGGTAGGAGGTCCGCGGCAGTAGCCTCGGGCGACGCGGCGTCGTTTTGGTGTTGTGCGGTTAGCATCGTACGCAACGGAGAGGCAGTTTATGAAAAGGCCAGCTGTTTGGTTAGTTATTTTTGGCAACTGCTCCGCCACTTTGATTTCCCAGTGTTCCCCCGACTCCTTCGTCTTTTTCCTAATTAATAATTCAATAAAAAGAAGGCCACTTCGGTAATTTCGCATACTCTGCCACCTCCAACCAAATTCGTCTCTGGCACTCTGCATGGCGTTGTAGTGGCAGTGGCAGTCCAGTGTGGGTTCCTTCACCAATATTATGCTGACATTCTCTGCCTTTTTCCTCTTCCCTGTCCTTCTCCTTCCCCACCAAGCCTCCGTTTCAATTCTCATGTCCTTGTTTTGTTTGTTAAACAAACCAATCAAGGTATTTATTATGCTATTCCATACATAACCTGCACCGATGTCTCCCAATCTTCTTTCTCCTTCGCTTCTTCCCATGGCTTCCTCTTTCCTTCCCCTCACTGTACTCACCATCTTGTCCATGCCGCTTCTCTCTCACCAGCAACCTCCTCTCCTCTCGGCTGAGCGTGACTCGCTTTTCCACGTCCTTTACTCTATCAACTCTGATATTCCATGGCGTTCCCTCTTCGCCGATGATGACGACGACCTTTGTGTCTCGGCCCCTCACGGCGTTGTTTGCGGCTATCCCTCTCAATCCAATGAAGCGGCACGCATTGTGGAGCTCAGTTTTGGGTATGTTTCCGACGAAGCCCCGAACCCTCCTTGTTCCGCCAACGCAACCCTCGACCCTCTTCTCTTCACCTCTTTCAAATACCTCCGCAAGCTCTTCTTCTATCGATGCTTCAACGAGTCTCTGGTTTCCGTTCCCGACGTTTCGCCTAGTTTCTCTTCCATTCTGGAGGAGCTTGTGTTTATCGAGAACCCATCTCTGGTTGGGCCTTTCAGTGGCGTTCTCGGAAACTTCACGAGTCTGAGGAGGTTGGTTTTGTCCGGAAATGGGGTTGACGGTGAACTTCCACAAGAAATAGGTGAGTTGGTCAATTTGGAAGAGATAACTCTGTCAAGAAATCGTCTTGCTGGTGATGTTCCTGGAAGTTTGGCTACTTTGAAAAAACTGAAGATTCTTGACCTGAGTCAAAATGGGTTTGAAGGGTATGTCCCTGAATCTCTGGGTAATCTCACGGAGCTTCTTAAGCTTGACCTGAGCTTCAACAGATTCATTGGTGAAATCCCAGAAAGTTTCAGAAATTTGCAGGGTCTTGAGTTCTTGGACCTCCGCTACAACCAGTTTGGCAAATTTGGAGTTCCTCAGTTCATTGGGGAGATTCCCAGATTGAGGGAGATATACTTGAGCGGGAATTTACTAGGTGGGAAAATTCCAGAAATATGGGAAAACCTTGGAGGTGTAACAAGAATAGGATTTTCCGATATGGGTTTAACTGGTAATATCCCTGCCTCTATTGGTATTTATCTCAGAAATCTGTCTTATCTCGGGCTTGATAACAACAATCTAGAAGGACCTGTACCAGAGGAATTGGTGTTTCTGGAGTTTGCAGATGAGATCAACATGGAGAACAACAACCTGAGCGGTAGAGTGCCATTTTCAACGAAACTGTTTGGAAAACTAAAGTTGAGAGGAAACAGAGGACTCTGTGTGGACCACCAATTGAGCTTGCATGCTGAAAACAAGGGCTATTCGGGGCAGCTAAGGCTCTGTAACGAGCCAGAAATTCCTAATGCTGTCCTTTTCAACGGGATCTCTTCCCTGCTTTTTGATCTTCAAGTGTGGTTCATGTCTCTGGGTATTATGTTTGTCTTTACTTTATTATAGAAGCTGTTCGTACACATGCAGCATTAGGCTTCTAGCCTGATTAAAGCAGAGCAAGTGGTTTTTTTTCCCATTTAGTTTTGTTGAGATCAGAGAGATAACAAGACCATATTACACAGTAGGAAAGCTTTCTGAAAAAGCAAAAGTGATGTTGACGGTAGAGAAATATTTAGAAAGTTTTTTTTTTTTTAATTCATAACCGATTTACATTTGAGCTAATGGGTGCCAGGTTCATTTTTTGTCGTAATTTACAATTTTATCCAATAGAAAGACAAAATTATAATGGCAGCAACAAGAGGACGGAAAAAGATTAATGGAAGGAACAAAAAGAATGATGCATTGAAGAATAACGAAGTTCTAGTAAGTCTCAGCTAAGCAACATGCTAACTAATAAATATGAAGTTACACCAGATTTCTCAATAACTTCTCACTCGATCCATTTCCACTCTGTCCACCTCCTTCAACGGGCCTCTGTTCCTTGTTAGACTTGGGGTCGGGTCCCACTGGAGACCCGAAACCAGAGTTCGGATCCAAATGTGAGGCTTTCAATCTGCATTTGGAAGGGCCGCCACCAGCACCAGCACCAGAATTTTCCTTCGACTTCTTGCGGCGAGACTTCTTGGGGATGTCCGGTAGGTTCCCTCTGGGAGACTCACTTCCTTGGTTCTGATCTAGGGATGCGGGTACCCGGGCGGGTTTGGATGATTTCCTTGACTGCCTTGGTTTGTCTGACTTTTCCCTTGTAGGAGAATCGGTGACACTGCCCGTTGACTGCCGTCTAGATGACTTGGGCAGCTCGGGCACGTCCCTCCCCAAAGAGCTCGTTGACCTTGAATCTGATCTCCAAACAATCAAATAAACACCACCTCAACAGTTATTTTCATCTTCACAAACTTGAAAAATGATGTCCCCATAAATGTAATGTTTCATAGATTTTATCAAATTAAAAGGTATATTTTCCTCGCAACCATATAAATGGTCGTATGGCAACTTGCTTTGGCAATTGTGTACCTTCTGAAATCCACTTGATTGCATTATCAGGTTCTGTGATCTTGATGCTCCCGCTGAGACTTATAGGTGCCGATGAATATGAGGATGGAGATTTAAACTCGTTCATCTGACGAAGTATTGTGTGGTTTCATGGGATGAGAAACCTAGACCAGTAATATTATAATGCAGGGGAAACAAGACGTCTTCTGCAACAAATAAATTTTAATGGAAAAAATATTTCGTCAAGGAAAGAAAAAAGGAATTACCCAACTAGGAGTGTTTACAGAGGGACCGTCCCATCCTATATGAGCCACGTGCTTTACATCTGTGGGAAGACCAATTTGCATTTCTGGTTCTTTTTCGTTATCTGCAAAGGGGGCATATCTTTGATTAATTCAATGGGAATTCGGAAATTATGATTGATTATAGAAAGGAAGGGTTTATTACCAAACATCTGAGTAATGTATCTGAAACCTTTGAAGATGCCCTTCACCTTGGGAGTGGACATTTTAATCCTCTTCACACAATAATGTACAATGTTGTGCTAGGATTTAGAAACCCCTTAGTAATCCTGGAACCAAATTGGAACCTTCTGAGATGACGAGGACATCACCCACAATGCCACCTATGAAAGTTGCCTCCGAAGCAACATTCAAGAAACCATGTGTAGCTAAGTTGAAGAGACAAAACCCTCAAGGTGGATGAAACATGGGTGGTGGTGTTTTTGTTTGGGGGCGTCAGGACGTGAGGATATGTTAGCCTGTGTCTTTTGTCATTAGCATACACGCACAAGATAATAGATATGAAAGTTTCAGAAACCGAAGGCAGTTCCGGAGGAGCCCGTCAGGGAGGTGGCAGGGTTGAGAAAAGGGATGAAACTAGGAAACAGAATCTGTATAAAGCATGCCCGTCTTTCATTTCGTCGATTCAATGGCCAAAGTTGCCTTGTCAATTTCACCCGTCAAATGAAAACCGGGAATTTCTCCAAATTTTAGCAGTGACAACAGGTTAAATGTAAAATATGCAAGTCTTGAAGGCGCCAAGTTTAGTGAATTTTTGACAGGTCAATTTTACAAGATAAATCTCCGACGGAGACATAGTGTTGACTGTTGGCTGAAAATATGGAGGCACAAAGCAGACAAATTGTTAAAAGCGCTCAATGATATTTATTAATTTCGAAAGAGAAGCCTGCATTTGAGTGATGGTGGCACTCATAGGATAGAAATAAGTTAGATCAAATTAGACTTTAACAGAATAAATTTAAACCTGTGTGATAAACCAGAGACCTAAAATTTCTATAAGGCATTTTCACAACTTAAGCTTGAGCTTACTTAAAATCGGGCATGGCTTAAAAGCTCATTTAAAAACTTACTTGAAAATAAGTCTTTTAAATTGATTGTATGTTAGTTTTAGTCGTTTCAAATATATTTTAAAACTATTATATTATATAATATATAACTTAATTTATTAATTATAATATATAATAATTGAAAGAACTTATCAATTATAATATAACATAACAATAAAATAACAACATCAAAATTAATATATAAGTTCAATATGATTAAAAATATAACTAAAAATAAAAAGAAATATATTGATTAAAAATTAAATGATGAATTGATGTATTTATAAGATATATTACATAATATATGTGTGTATAAATAGGTCAATTTGTTAGGTTCATTAGTTATAAAAAATAAGATTAAATAAGCCAAACTAGACCTAAAATAAATTAAGTTGTAGATCTTTATTAAAAGTTTTTTCTATTTTCAACCCTATGCACATGGAGAACTCAAGGCCTGATGTGAGAAGAAAGGTCAATAAGAAAGTGAGCGTGTCCCAATTATTAGGGGCACAGATGCATGTCTCGTCTGGCGTCACTCAACACCTTGATGAAATTTAAGTTGTTCAGATTCAATGGCTCTCGTGTAATTTTTAAATAAGTGATATTTATATGTTGTAAAACAATAAGTGATATTTATAAGATTATTTTTATTTTAGATTTTTCACCGAAACATTACCTAAAGTTGAATGGTCCAAATTCAATCTAAATAAATGATCATGATTAACGATTACCACACCCTTAGTTATGGATATCGATTCCATTTTCACTTTGCTGCTTGTCACTAGAAATAAAAAAAAAAAAATCTGCAATCAGTGATCAGATCAGTATTGGGTACCGGTTATATAGACTCACATCGTCCCCACCAAACCACAAACTCTGTTCAGGAAAGGTGTTGAGCTATGGATATTGAGATCGTGTTTTTAATTTGCAGGAGTCTACGAAAACAATAGCAGAAGATAATCTTTTTAATTTCTACTTCAGTTTCAGTTATCTCGCTGTAATAATGACAGCGAAGTAAACTTCAGACGCTTGAAGGCTTGAGCTCCTCGATGATCAGAAAGTTTAATAGAAAGACCATTATTTTCATAAAAATGTCGCCATAAGAGAATGCAAACCGGAATTAACAGAATGTAAACAGCGTAGCACTTCATGTGGCGAGGAAGACGCCTGTGCTATGTATTAATTCAAAGGAACAACTATAAGAAGTAATCCTCGTTAAAGCTTAAACGCCCACTTCTAATGCTTCAACAAGAATATCTTGCATCAATTGCCTTTCTCGTTAACTTGTTTCCTCGGACAAACCATGTCCGAGACAGTCAGTTTAGCGCAAAAAAATGGGTGCTATTGAAACAAATTCATAAACATTGAACAGAAATGTTCCCTTCACTTGTAAGCTGCTTCAACTGCTTTCTGGGCGGCATCAGCCAAATCATCTGCCGTGATTAATGCCATGCCACTTTCCTGTCGAGCCAATTAAGCATAATCATTAAATAGAAAATACTCATAATCAGATGGTATGTATAAGTATGTAGATGTATATATAGCAGTTACCTTCAGAATTCTTTTTCCTACATCAACATTCGTGCCTTCAAGACGAACTACAACGGGTACTTTTAGTGCAACCTTGAAAATATTAGCCAAGATAAGTTAATGCCATTAAAAGGTCGGGATAAGACAGGAGTAATTAAATTTAAAGCAGAAAACATTCAGTCTTCTCAATCTCGAGTAACTGGTTTACTAACCTGTTTAGCAGCATTGACAATTCCACTTGCTATGACATCACACTTCATTATGCCACCGAATATGTTAACCAAAATTGCCTTCACCTTGTCATCAGCTGTCAAAATTTTGAATGCTTCAACCACCTGCTTTGCATCATTGCAATAGTTAGGAATAAAAAATAACATGGATGTTATCTAAAGGTAAGGCAAGTATCTGCTGACAAGCTAATAACAAAAAGAAACAAGCACAAGCACCATCGATAGATTATCCAAACGAGAGCGAATCAGCTTGATTACAATAGTAGAGCTAAAACTATAGCCACAATGAGAGCCAAAAAAGGAAAACCTCTAACCTGGAAACATTACCTGGTTTTCAGAGGCATTCCCACCGACATCCAAAAAATTAGCAGGCGTGCCCCCATGCAACTTAATTATGTCCATAGTGGCCATTGCTAAACCTGCTCCATTCACCATGCAACCAATTTCTCCATCTAACCCAATATAATTTAAATCTGCCTTTGATGCAGCAACCTGTTCAAGGATAAAGCATGAATCAATAATGTGAAAAATAACACATCCATAGAGCTACTTCATAAGCACAAGCATATACAGAGATATGAAAGTATCAGAAATTATAAGTAATGTAAGTAAACCTCTCGAGGATCCTCTTGAGTTGTATCACGAAGAGCAAATATCTCTTTCTGGCGGTATGCAGCATTATCATCAAAGTTCAATTTGGCATCAGCAGCCACCAATTGGTTGTCAGCAGTCTCCGCTATGGGATTGATCTGTTGAAAATAATCCACTATTCATTTTAATTATTCAATGTAAGTAATAACTAGAAGGTACACTTGGCTAAGACTTGCATATGCTTACTTCCAAAAGAGTGCAATCACAGTCACAAAACAGTTTATATAAATTCTTCACTTGTTCAATTGACTTATTTCTATCTGCCACTTTGGGAGCCAAACCATCAACAACCTTTGCAGCACCTTCATCAGTAAGTCCCTCGAAAACATCAACAGGTACCTTCAAGAAAGAATGAGTGAATTAAATGTATCTTGCAATGCAGATATAGTGCTTCAATAGGAAAATTAACACATGAGAAATGACAGTCATGACTGACCTTTACAATCATGTCAGGGAATTTCTCTGCCAGGTCTTCGATGCTGGTTCCTCCCTTTCTACAAGAAATTATGAGCTGGAATATGAATACAAAAGAAAGAAATATAATTAACATCCTCTGTATCAACCAAAATTAATGAAGAAATAAAGGGCTGGGAAGTCATCATACTTCATTCATAAACAACAAGTAATAAAAATTTTAACATGGCATATACAGCAAGATTGAGAATCACATATTGATATAGGAGAGAGAACTTACTGGACCAGCAGTCTTGCGATCTAAAGTTATAGCAAAGTACATCTCGTTCACAAGTGACAGCTTTTCACATAAGTAAACCTGTGTAAATTAGATGATTACATGTCAAACAGTTAAGTCTTCCCAAAGCAACAACCCCCCGTCATCACTGAAATAAATTAATAGTGTAGTACATAGAGATATATCCTATAGATTATCATTTGAAAATTGAAAGCACCATGTCCTCCATCTGGTAAGTTCAAGTACAAACTTACATATGTTACACTAACACATAATGAGCAAGACCTATTATGAGTTCAGAAAAAATAGCTACACTTGCCATAGAAAAGCCAGCAAAACAATCCAAGCATATGTTACCATTAAAGGCTAGGGTCAAAGCCCTGCTTCACTAGACAAATATAGTTTCCATATGAATGCATAATAAAAGAGCTAGCATATTTGAAGACAGAATTACTGAATAATGTCAAACCTTGTTGACAGCTTTTCCCTGAGGGCCAGTTTGTTTGGTAACCAGTATCTGTCCAAGCATCTTCCCTAAAATAACAACAAAAACTTTATTGTTATCGCTATTGTTATTACAAAAAAGAAAATACACCCATGAAATTTAGATTATATATGACTAAATTTATCCATATCTAGTCATTTGCACATCTGAAGACTATAATAAGTATATTATCATTTACACATCTAGTCTCAAGAGCATCAGGAGTATACCACCAGAGGATCCAGAAATTACTAAGCAATCATTCATTGAAAGAATTGGACAAGGGAAAATCAATCAAGGATAAACTCATAACCAACACAACTCAAACCGCTTGGCATAAAGTGAACACATAATGAAACAACCTCAGCATATTCAGTCAATGTTCTGTATATATGATCTCTCAAGTATAACTTCTTGGCTCAAGCTTAAGTGATTACCTAGTCAAAACAGACACTATAGATGGCAAGATGATGAGTTCAAAAAATTACAATTTAGACATTTTACTTCTGCAGCAATATGCCATAATTTCAAATTGAAAGAACCCACTGAAGATTATCCTTTTTTTTACCATATCACCGGGTTATGCCCTGCAACTTGGATATATCTGTATAGACTATAGACATCTGAGTCCACTCAAGGATCAGAGTGTATATTGGTTGCTGTGTTCATCGCCTAATAAATAGTATACCAATCCAAATCGACTCAACGCTTCACACAAAAATAAGAACTCACCTAGCTTACTCAAAGGAACCCTCTGCAATCTAGTAAGATCAAGAGAAATTAAGAACGAACAATTGTTCAATCTTATGAATATTAGAGACTGCATACATTACCAGCTATATCTTCAACCTGATCGGTCTTGACAATGTGAACTCCACCCTTGAGACCGCTTTTAAATGTTCCCAAACCCCGTCCACCAGCCAAAATTTGACTTTTAACCACCAACTGCACCATAATTCAAGTTTTATTGCATGTTATCGCTCACGAATTTCAGCACTGAGACATTTTTTTTTCCCCTCTGTGTACGGGGAGAGAAGGGAATCAAACTATGGGGCAAAAAAAACTGCAAAGTGCAAATTCAAAATTTATCCTTTCTGCTGTGCATAAAATTCTGTTAGCGTGGCCAATCTGATGTATAAGCGTTGAATATCAATTACCTCGTTCTCATTAGGAAATACGTCCTTGATGGCCTTTCTGACTTCTTCAACAGATGAAACAGCTACACCCCTCGGAACATTGATTCCGTGTTTGCTCATCAACTCAGCTCCCTGATTTCAAGGAAGATCAGACATTCAGAGGTAAGTAGCCATATTTATCAAACAAATTCAAATAAGCATATGCAAATATAAATTTATTTAGATCAACGCGCGCAGTCATCCATCCAATGCAAAGTATCGTCATGCACTACAAAAATCAGTCGCTTGATTCCTTTAAAAAAATGTACAGAAATTAGAGAAACAATTTTAAAAAAAAAAACAGAAATGAAATCGAAACAGCTTGGGCAACACATTAGTTCATTAAGCAAAGGCAACTCCTATCTGCACTCGATTCCTCTCTCTGTATCTCTCCAAAATGGTTGCGCGAAAGAGAGAAAAAAGTTACGACCTGGTATTCGTGGATATTGAGGCGGCGGAGCTGCTGCTGTTGCCATTTGCCGGCGAGGGAAAGCGAACGAGAAATGAGATTGTTGAGCGATCCCCGTACCATAGTGCTATGGAATTGAAGATCGGAACGTCGGACAGTAAAATGGGGATTGGAGCAAAATTAACAATAATTCTCTCTCAGCTGAGTTCACAAACCATAACAGACCCTAGCACTCCTGTTCCCTGGTCCCTGTCTCTCTCTTGGGCCGTGCGCTTATACTAGCTGCGTATTGCGACCCATCTAATATTTTCTATTTGACTAGAATATTAAAGCATGCTATACAGCCACAGAGCTATTATTCGTGACTTAATTAAAATAAAAAAATGCTTCAAAATTTATTTACTCTGCTGAATGCTAGCATGTGCGTGTGAATAATCATATATTATCATTGTTGATTTCAAAAACGGAGTATGGGATCCACTGAAACCGTTTATTAAGAAGGTCGACTTTTTGTGGGGAAGGAGCTGCTTCGATTCAAGGATGGAGCAGGAAAACTCAGCTTGCTACCATTCTCTCACACTTCGAATGGCTTCAAACACGTAACATTCATGTGCCTAGATAGTGCAAGTGCCAGCAGTCAAAACAGAAAAACTCATCCTCTTACTTAATAATTTTCTGTTTTTATTTATACGGAAAACTATTACGTTTAGTTTATTATTTTATATATGTAAAATTATATTTTTAATAAATATTTATTGTAAATTTTTTTAAATTATTCCTCATAATTTTATTATTTATAGTCATAAAAATTATTAATGAATGCTTAATTAAAACAATTAATGAAGGTTATTATAGTTTAATTATTTTATTTTGAGACACAATTAATATAGTTAAATTATATGATACAGTTTTTTCCTTTTATAAATAGGAATGGAGGGAATATGCCTCAAATGCTTTGCATTATTTCTAATCCATTTTCTCTTTTATTCTGCAAGAAAAAATGAATTAAATATATAGTTCACGAGAAAAGAGTAGGCTTTAAAGCAAGAAAAATTAAAAACAAAGTCTTGAAAGATATTCATAAACAGTGACGGATCCATAAAAATTAGTCTTTGGAGCAAACTAATGCATAATATAAATACTATTTTTCATAAAATATAGTCATAAATGTATATTAAATTACTGTGATGATATAATTTAATATTAAATAAAGCGTACAAAAGTTATATAATTATAAGAATATGGAAAATAAAATTTTCTCAGTATAAGTAGTATTTATATTAAAAACATACAATAATCATTATCTCATATGGTATTTAAATTCTTCACAAGAGCTGAGGGAATTTCTTATGAATAAAAACTTATATACTTAAAATGTTTATTTTTAATTAAATCAAGAAATGTGTATTTATTATAAATTATTTATTTTATAATAAATTTTTATTATTAATATTATTAACATACTAAAAATTATATGTCTTGATTGTACTGAATGATAATATATTAAATACATAAAAGTAAATATATAAGTTTGGCGCTTCCTCATGGAACACAAATGAAAGTTTCTATGAGAAAATGGGGTGATAATTGATTGACAACGACCCCAAGATCACTAGCGTGGGTCCACCTCTGTTTATAAGCTATTTGTTGACAAAATTCTCATGCTAGTAGTAAAATTTATATCAGCATACTTGTAAAATACGAATGATATCCTTATCAATTCCTAATAAAATACGAGTATTTATTAGGAATTCCAGCAATGAGCAAAAGAATGAATCGTCGCCCATCTTTATTGCTTGACATATGGAATAAAATGTGATCATCGAACTATTCCAAAGAGGTGCTTTAATTTTTTTTTTTGGTCAACTTTAAGAAATTATTAGACAGATAGATGCTCAAAGAACCTAAACTGTAAAAACCCACACAATAGGGCGAGGGTTTTGTTTTTTAAGAAAAAATCAAATTATATCAATTATTCACTCTATCATTGATGAATAGACTATTTATTGTCGCACATTGTGATATTTATTTTGAATTTTGGAGGTGTATCAAATCTACCGTTTCTTTTATGATTCCAAATGTTTATTTTAAAATTTATTGGCTTTTCAATGACAAGGCGTGTGGAGATAGGCCAGGATTTAAAAAGAAATAAAAAGTTACCATGAAAAAATTCTGGCCATCGATGTTTAACGCTCGTCGGATATCAACTAGATTCCCTTGCAAGCATTATAAAGTGACCGAGACAATTTTCAAGTAAATGGGAATTCAAGAAAAATAGTGGAGTGATAGTAACTTCTGATTGGTTTTACTCGTCGTGGTTTTAGTTTTATGTTATATTCATTAGTTTGTTCTTAAAAAAATCTATGAAAATTAATTCATACAAGGCGCATAGTCTATAGCTGGGGGTGATGTTATTTTGAAATTTTTTGGTGTTTTTTAATAAAAAACACTCCACCAAACTAGTATACGCTGTTCACAAAAAGACGGGGGTGATGCTATTTTGAAATTTATTGGCATACATTAGGTATTAATTAATTGCATCGCATACATATACAGATACTTGATTTTTTTGTGGAGGAAATTTTAGTAAGTCAAATGCCATAAGCTCACCAAGAATAGAGTATTTCTGTTGATTTAAAGAATACTTATAAAATAATTACAAATTGCCCACTTATTATTAGGCATGGATCCTGTCTTAACACTGATTTTATATGTGTGCGCGTATGGACATGGTATCTCATATCATCCGAGAGATTTCACTGGTGTTGGTTCAGTTAGGAGCAACTTTTATAATATAACATTTTTCACCGTTAAGATTTAAGCATTTACATTTTAGAAAACGAGTTTCATATACTCAAGGAAAATAACAGAAAAATCTTCATGAAATATGTGAATAACAATGAGATCTCATAAAATGTCATAATTTGTTGTAAGTCTCAATAAACCTTCCTATCATTGATGATTATTTTGTAAAATGATTGAATTACCTCCTGTCTAAAATTAAAAAAAAAGCCATGGCTCCCAAAAAAGTAAACATCGATGACTACTTTAATTTTGATAATGAATACTTTTCTTTTGATAATAACTAGAATAGATAAGTAATTACAACTTTCATTGTGAAAATTTTTTATTCATTAAAGTTTAAGTATTATAAATACACATTACTATTTCAATTTCAATAGTGACTACTTTTCTTCTAGCAAATACTAAAATAGAATAAGTAATTACAACTTTCTCGATATAAATTTTGGTTAAGGATTATTTTTGTCCAGAAACTATATACAAAAGGTTACAAATGATTATAAACTCAACTATAAATCAATTATGTTTTTTAACTTTAAAAATTTCCTCCATCATCATCATGACGTTAAAAATACTCAACGTTCATTAATCATCAATGAATTTTACTATTTTTTAAATATTTTTTTCAAGTTAAGGGTCATTTTTTTTTTGCCTTAACTTATATTCGAATGGCCATTTTTACCCCTCAAATCAAATATTTTATAATAAAAAATATAATGTAACGCCCACTAATAGTTAACTAACAGCAAGAAAACGACAGGGTAATGATGGAATAAATCTTTAAAGTTAAGGGACAGAACTAACTTATAATTGAGTTCAGGGTTATTTGTAACCTTTTGTATATAGTTCGAGGATAAAAATGATCCTTAATTCTTTTTTATTCACTATAGTTCAAGCATTGTAAGTATCTGCAACCATAGTTTACAATAGAAAAGGAGGAGTTGTTGATTAAAATAATATAAAAACTAATATTTACAACACCTAAACATCAGTGAAGCAAAGATTTGGATAATGTCACCTTACCTAGCCAAACATAATTACTAAACTCTATCATGATAATCAAAAGGTAACTAATTCCAATTACCTAATCATAATTAAAGCTGGTAATTCAGGCCGAGCCCGACAGGCTAGCCTGAATAAGCCCAAAAAAAATTAGAGCCAGGCTTAATGTTTTGAAAAAAACTGATACTTTGGGCCACCTGAATAAGCCCGAATACTTGTTTTTTTTTAATGGAGCCAGCTGCGGACCGCGGACTTGAAGACCGAAGAGATGCTGGCACTGGCACCAAGAATTAGGAAATAAGCGAGGTGAGAGCCGGCTGAGTGAGGTTTAGAGTCCGAACACGAACAGCGACAACGAGTGAGTGAGATCTTAGATGAGACTTGAGAGGCTGAGCTGACTGGTTGAGATTGAATCAGATTGAGAGTGAGAGGCGAGACAGCGAGACCGAGACTGAGACGCAAGGCAAGACGGCGAGACGCGAGGCGAGACGGCGAGATTCATCGAAGTTTCGAACCAGACGGCAAGATAGTGATTGATCGAAGTCGGAGCACGTTCTAAATCTTTAGATCCACTAGCAAAATGAGCTTCGTCTAAACCAAAACCCCCTAGCACAACAAGCTCCATCAATCGTCTAGACCAGAACGGCAAAACCCACTAGCAAGGTTTTCTTCCTCTTCTTCTTTCTTTTTCTCTCATGCATATTGTTATGCTCTGTTTTGATCTAAGTCTGCCTCTGATTCCTGTTCTTATTGTTCTTGCTTAAGATTGTTTTTAAGCTAGCTTTGCCTTTGAGTTTGCCTTTGGTTGTGTTTGGTTAAGCTTATTTTTAAGCTATCTGAGACTGCCTCTGTGGCTCTGCATGAATTTCAATGGTTGTGCTATTATGTGAAATTGAATATTTTAAGTTATTTAAGATTGCCTCTAGTTGTGTTAACTTTTAATGAAGGCATAAACGCATAGTATGTTAAATTGATGTTTAATTTTCAATTTTATACAGTGAAACATGTCTTCTAGTCAAAGGAAGAATATTAATGAAAATGTGGGTGGTAGTTCTAGTAGTAAGGTAGATGATAATGTGCGTGGTAAGGGTAAAGTAGTTGATATTTTTCCCTCTAAAAAAAAAACAATGAGCAAAAATTACTTGCCTCTGCAATTAAATCAGCTACCTCAGCAAGTAAGAAATTTGTTGCCTCTGCAAGTAAGAAGTCTGTTGGTTCTGGTAATTCTAGTAAAAGAACAAGTTCTGAGAAAGAAGTGAAGCCACCTGTTGCTAAAAAATCAAAAACCTGTACATTTGATGTTTGGAAGTCATTTTCTAGAATTGTAGTTGATGGGAAAGTAAAAGCCAGGTGTAATGATTGTAATAAAGACCTAGCAGGATCTAGGGCTTACGACATATCTCATTTAGCACGACATGTTAAAAATTGTCCTTAACTTGCTAAGTATCATGATATTGGAGTGATAATGATG